ACTGCTAAATTCTAACTGACTAAATTGTATTTTAGTTTAATATAGTTTGAAACCTAGTAATTTCCTTCGAAGTTTACAACCCCAGGTATTTGGAGTGTTTCGATTCGGCATGTGTGGGCGACTGTCTCAGGGGGAGGTAGCGTGTGTTCCAAGGTGCGTCTGCAAGCGTCGGCGTGATAAGCTCACCATTTATACGGAGGGTTGGCGCCGCGTGTCGCAAGTCGGTAGATCGTACTCGGGGTTTAATGCCACCCTGTTCGAGGCCAGATTTGCGTCCCCACGCATCAATGTCATCTAAGAAAGGCTGGAGCGAAACCGATCGAGGGGCTTGGATCCGTGTGTCATCGACAAATAAATAAGAGCGAAGGAGCTTGGGCCAAAATTGTGCTAGCGTGACAGCTAAGGTATTCATGTAGATAATAAAAAGCTGGGGGCCGACGATTGAGCCTTGTAGGATGCCATTCGTTCTATGGAATAGGGACGAGAGCGTACCGCGGTATGTCACTTGGGTAGGGATCCTCCCAAACAGCGCACGGAGGCAGTTGAACCAGTTTTCGGGCATACCAGCGTGACACAGAAGTACCCATAGGCGTGGGAGAGCGACCTTGTCGTATGCCTTGGTTGTGTCCAGACAGACGTCGTTCCACTCCTCTTCTGACTGTGTCTCAGATTTCATGGCGGTAAGTGCTTGGGTACGACAGGAGTACCGTGATTTGAAGCCAGCTTGGGTAGCATGGGTAGCAGAGCCGAGGTGGTTCGTAATCAGATTAAGAAAGCACTTTTCAAAGATGCGTCTGACTATTTGCGTAAGCGTGATGGGGCGGAAGTCGGCGGGGGAGGTGATATCTGCATCGGCTTTCTTTGGGTGCTCTGTCAGGAGGCTGCAGTTCAGGGCAGCGGGAAAGATACCCGCCTTCAGTAGCTCAGTGAATGCTTCGGCAAGGAGTCTAATCAGTGGGTTAGTGGCGTCGGGGCGTCCCAATGTCCGGCGTTCGGTAGAGGGCTCCACTGCGGCCTTCAGGAGGAGGATGTGGATCCCGCCGGGGCCAGGTCCCTTATTGGGATAGCGTAGTATTGCCTCCATTACATCGTCGGGGCGTATGGTGGAAGTGACATCAGGAGAGAGTTCGGTAACCGGTGGAACCCCGTACGGGTTTGTAGAGTTGAATAGGGCCTCAAAGTAGCCAGCGAGGGTAGCGCCTGTGGCATCGGTACCCGGTATGCAGGGTTGGCGCGGAAACCGTCGTTGGTACGTAATATCTTTGAACATTTGATCATTGTTTTGGGCGATCAGACGTGGGCGGAACCAGTGGTTTGGCAGCCGCTGAACCCAAGGTCTGTTTAAGTCATAATAGAATCCTCCAAAGATTTGTGGGTTAGTGGCATAGCGCCAGATGCGGTCGAGGATTCGTAACAGCCCTTCCGATGGTCCATGTTAAGTGAGATACGACCGTAGTAGGTTCTGATGCGCCCGGATTCCGGCTTGGAGTAGTCGCGCGCGGGATTTGTTGCGTAGGTGATACAGTCGATGGCAATATCGGTTATATCCATGGGAGGGGAGGAGTGAACTGACAAATATTTTGTTATAGGAGCCCTAAACCCAGCAAGTTTTGACACCCAGAAAAATATGACTACTATTGTGTAGACATGCAGCCCTTACGTGGAAATGGCAGTTTGATAAAAACATCGACCCCCGCTCCCAACAACATCCCGACGCTACGAAAGCAGCTTTAATTCACTATCTCCGCACCAAGCGGGAGGCTCGCTGCACACATGAACGAGCGCCAAAAAATCTTGCCCGCAGCATGGATGCACTACTGAGCCCACTTTTCAACTCCACTAACGCAGACATCCTCCAATCTACCGCGGACCGTCTCCAGAAGACTTACCAAGCAAAGCACGATAAAAACCTCTTCTCACTTAACCCGCGAATCCCGGTAAACGCTAAAGAATCAGCGCGTGCGGAACCCGGACGACTTCGTATACCAACGGCCTCCCCGAGACAATCATCCGACACGGTGGATAGCAATACGCAGCCTCAGCTTTCCACGACGGACTCTTCGACGACAGGCAATGATATAGAAATGGCTGACATCGTCAAAGAGGAGAACCCAGTAGTATTGACCGATGATGAACAATGCTAGGCCCAATGAGGATGACGCTCTTCAACCCACAAGGACTCAACATGGACAACGCAGCACATACAGATAAGTGCTTGAACGTTATATCGATTTTAAGTCAGGTTGATGTTATGTGTGTGGTTGAAACCTGGCATAACACCACATTTCTTAATCATATACGCTCGAACACACACGACTACTTCTTCCCATCAATCTTTCCTGAACCACTACAGCGACTATGAGAGCCATACCATATGTTCATACATTGTATCATACATACTTGCCATTTTTGAAATAAATAATATTATCCCCATTGTGTGGCATCTTATAGTTCGGTACTGTAGCATACAAAAAATAATTCAACTAAATATTATTTCAAAACGCGAAATTATGAATCTACCGAGCTTGGCTCACTCCGCCCTGCAGGGAGTTATGTTCACAATTATTTATATTTGATGTGACTTATGTACCACTAAATATCTTTTGAAAATATCAACCAATCAAAACCATATTTAGCTATTATTTTAGTTTCGTATAGTTTATACAAATTTTATGGCCCTCTGGATTTGGGTCTAGAGCAGAAATCAGATTTCGTCGTAGCGGAAGTCGTAAATTTAGCGCAGACTCAAATCCAGAGGGCCGTGAATTTTTTTATTAGTGTGATAAGGGCCGGTCCTAACGGTTCAAGTTTTGCATTGAAGTATGGAAGTGAATAGGAGTGGTGAACAAAAAACTTGGCTTTAGGAGATGGGCGATAGAGGGACCTTAAGAAATCAATCTCATTGGCAGATAGACACAACTTGAATTCTTCGTATTGACGAGTAATAAACGTACGCAATCTTGATTTTTTTAAGGTACCTCTGGGTCATTCCATCTCCCTTCGATTGTTTTTTTAAAAACAAATCAAAAATCTTGTATGTAGACTGTGGTGAGTACTGAGTGGTATAACGTCTGTGACTGTGGCCGTGGATAACTGATTTAAACTGGATACTTAAATACAGGATATTGTATTGGCTATTGTATATTATTGTTTAAAAAAATAACACGATTCTCTTACTGAAATACCAATATAAATACCAT